ACGGTTTTGGGCACATGGCCTTTGGGTCCTTCCCTGACTATAGCATGACACCCCTCCCTGTTGTCCTGCTCTCATATGTGTGTGTGTCTGTGTGTGTGTGCGTGAGTGTGTGTGTGTGAGACAGAGAGAGAAGAAAAAGAGAGAGAGCACCTCCAAATAGAAGACACACTGCCTGGAGGCACTTGCTTGCCTGCTTGATTGATTTTCATTTCTGCCCATGGCTGTGGCTCCTTACTGAAATGCCCACTTTTCTAGCTTCCTGGAATAATTCGGAACAAACATGAGATATATGGACACCACCCTCAGCACAACTACAGACTTCATAGTATCAAGGCCTATGCCTTATTTCTCTCGTAAGATCATTCATAACATTTATTGAGCATTTACTGTGTGCCAGACAGTGGGTAGGAATTACATGTTTTCTATCATCTTTAACAATCACAGCAACTTTCTAAGCTAGGTATTGTACTGTATAATTATCCTAAATTTACAAAAAGATTGATTCACAGAAGTTAAGCAACTTGCCCAAAGTCACACCGTCCGTAAATGGCAGGGCCAGAATTGGAGCCCAAGTTTTTGGGTTTTAGAGCCCATGTTGAAGTTGTGGCCAAAGGAAGTGGGGGAGGTCACTGTATCTCCCTGTCAGAAAGGGGAATGTCCTCCAGAGCTGCCCAGTTGTAGCAGGACCTCAGGGATACCCCTGGGAGAGCAGAAGGGCATGTCTTTCCTGAGTGTGTATTTGGGGCTCCCTGCAGGGGTATGCAGAGGAAGACCCGCCTGCCTTTAGGATACAATTCTTTGTTGATCCAGCATGACAAGGGTAGGCTTCACCTCGGTGTCCTACAGTGACCTGAAGATGGGGAGGACTGGGATGGTCAGGTTCCGGCTGGGGAACAGCGTGAGGTCACCATGGGAGCGAGTGTGAGTTTAGGCAGCTTTGAGGAGTGTGGCCTGCCTGAAGCCTAGGGCTGTGTTTGGGGGAAGCAAGCCTTGGTGCTGGATGGGAAAGATGGGGTGGGTCCCCAGGGATCTGATCAGGACAAGGCTGGATTGGCCCTTCAGGTGTAAGAGCCACTGCAGGATTCAGGCCAAGGAGCCTAGTGGTGATTGTGGGTAATGAAGCTGGTTCTGGCTTAAGGGGTGGGCTGGTCCAGAAGTGGGAAGACAGGCGTCCAGGGAGGCTTCCTGGGGACGCGGGGGCCTGGGGCTAGGCCCTGAGGGTGGGCATGGTTTGGAAAGAAGGGCACAGAAGTGGCAGTGTGTCTTGTATTTGCAGGTACTTTTGGCCCTTCAGGTGTAAGAGCCACTGCAGGATTCAGGCCAAGGAGCCTAGTGGTGATTGTGAGTAATGAAGCTGGTTCTGGCTTAAGGGGTGGGCTGGTCCAGAAGTGGGAAGACAGCCGTCCAGGGAGGCTTCCTGGGGACGCGGGAGCCTGGGGCTAGGCCCTGAGGGTGGGCATGGTTTGGAAAGAAGGGCACAGAAGTGGCAGTGTGTCTTGTATTTGCAGGTACTGGGGAACTTCATAGCTCCAGGGCCCAAGGAGAGGTCAATATTCCTGGGAAATGGCTCCAGCCAGGGTGGAGGTCAGGGAGTCCAGCAGAAAGTTCCTGAGAATGGGCTACTCTGGGAGGGTCTGGGAGGGAGGAACAGGCCATCCAAGGAAGAGGCCAGGGTTTTCTTTTGGGGATGCATGTGCATATTTACATGATAAGGAGAGGGGCTGGGCAAGGAAGCGGAGCAGAGACACCTCCTTACTTAACCCCGCTGCCTCTGCAATGGAGCAGGTGACAGTCTGGGGAGAGGGCAGGAGGCACAGGAGAGAGGAACCTCAAGAAATCTAAGAGACTGCAGTGGGAACAGATGGCATGGGGCATCTGGGAAATTCCCCGGCTCTCCCCAGTCCCCCTGTGGGGTGTGGCTTGGGCTCCTGGCCCTGGAAGGGGGGTGGGCCTGAAGGAGTGCCCTGGGGAGGCTGGCGTCTGGCCCAGGTAAGTGGTCTGGTCTTGGTGCTCCCCAAAGTGGTTTGTGGCCCAGTGGTTGGAGCCCAGTGCTAATGAGGACAAGGTTACAGGGCTGACCGTCTAGGTTTATGCACAGTAAACTGTAGATTGGCTTCTGAGCCTGACAGTAGACCCACCCTGCTCCCATCCTGTCCCTGGCCCTGCTCTCAGCTTGAGCCCTCCTCACCCTCAGCACAGTGGGAACTGGTGAGAGGTGTTGTGTGCAGTGCAGCCTCCCCCCCAGAGCTTGGGACCTGGCTCAGTGACTGTGTGTCCCTGATACTGCACTGTCTCTAAACGCGCAGAGGGTGGACAGAGAAGGGGACCCAGAGATGCTAACCTGGGACCTCCAGACTTGGGCTGTACTGGACTTGCCCCTCATGGGTAGACTCCTTTTGACTCTCTCCTGGATAGCCCCCTAGAGTCCTTTCTTCTACCAAACTCCAGCTTCATCGGAACAACTCAAAATTCTACTCTGGCTTGTCTGGCCTTCACTAGGCAGGGTGGAGGATTTCCCACAGTCCTTCGGTGCTTTGACAGTGGAGTCTGGGGATGCTTTGGGAAAGCACGAGCTTCCCCAGAGTGAAATTAGAGGCCAGTGGCTCAGCTTTCAGCAGCTGAGTAGTGTTGTCTAGGGCTCTCCAAGCCTGGGGGCCAAGTTCTTGGGCCAGTGTCTCCTCCATGCCAGGGTTCCAGGGTCAGAATTTGACATGACCAGCTGTATGTCTCCAGGGTGGTGTGGTGGACGACAGGAGTGAAGATTCCATATCCGTGTCCACCTTGAGCTTTGGTGTGAACAGACCCACGATTTCCTGCATCTTTGACTGTAAGTGATGCTTGGAGGCATCTTGGGTGATATGGGTATGTAACCTTATACGTCTGTTTGTAAGGAGTTACATGGTCTGGCTGTATGTGGGGGCTCTGGAGAACTGAGTCTGTGTGCTTTTTGGTGGGCTAGTGTCTTTGGTGTGTGTGTGTGTGCATGTCTGTGGTGTAGGCATCAACTCATGCATGAGACTGGGCCCTGTGTGTTCTGGCTGCCTCGTCTGTCATCCCTTCAGCCTCTCCTTCTCCTCCTCCTTCTATGCCCCCTCCCCTGAGCTCTAACCCGGCCCAAGGACACATGACTCAGGGGTCCTTCTTTGAGCTGTGGTCCATTCTCCTGTTCCTGGGAGAGACGCACTCCCGCATCGTGGCCTATGGCAATTCTGTCGTTCAACCCCTACGTCTGCTGCTCTCACCAGGGACAGACTCCACCCTCCCCTCTAGCCCCAGCTTTTAGCCACCCCAACCCTCACTCCAGCATCTCCGTTTCTTCCTTGGTGAAGATGGGAACCGCTACCATCTACGCTGCTACATGTACCAGGCCCGGGACCTGCCTGCGATGGACAAGGACTCCTTTTCTGGTAGGTGGGAGAGAAGGAGGGGAGCCAGAGACCATGGACTGAGAGACGGGGCCGGGTGCTTCGGGCCTTCAGGCAACAGGGAACATGGCCTGATGATTCTCCTTGTGGGTGGGGAGTTGTGTTTGCTGGGTGCTGTTGCTGGGGTCCTGTGGCTTTCTGGTCATCAGGTGTAGCAGCCTCTTGTCCATGGCCCGTTTGGCTTCTCTGTAGGATTCGGCTGACTCTCCCCTCCTTTTGGAAAAGTCCCCCGACTTTTGTTCTCAGGCCACCACCTTCTCCTGGGTCTCCTGCAGCCTCCTCCTCTATCTGTGTCATTGCACATACTGCATGACCTATGCAGTTCGTCCTGTCCACGCTGAACTCCTGGTGACCATGCCCCTCCCAGGTCCAGGCCTCCTCTGCATTCCTCAACTCGGTCCTGGGGGCCCCGGGCCAGCAGCTGTCCATTACCCAGGCTGGGAGCCCTCAGTCACCCTGTCCTGTGGATTCTGCCTCCTGCGTCTCTCCCAGGTCTGTCTCCTCTTCAGCGTCATGCTGCTGTCTTGCACTGGCCTCGGTCATCTCCCAGCCTCCCTGCCATCTTCCACACTGCCCCAGACACACCTGGTCACATCAGTCCTGTGATTTCAGATATAGACCCTGACAGATAAGCCCCGACTCTTCGCCATGTCAGCTAAGTCCTTTAAGATCTGTCCCTGGGGCCTCGCCTGCTGCCCAGTTCCCTCTATCCGCTAGCTCCAGCCCCACCAGCTTTTGTCCACATCTGCCAAGATTTTCCATATGCCTGGCCTTCGCCCTCAGTGCTCTCTCTGCTCAGAATGCACTCCCTCTTGATTTCTAACCCAGTGAACTCCTCATCCTTCACGACCCAGCCCAGAAGCCCTCTGATTCCTCCCTAAGCCAGGCTGGTTGCTCCTCAGCACTTGGCTGGCACCTCCCGGCACCTCTCTCAGAGCCCTTGCCCATGGCACAGATCGACTGTATTTGTCTCTCCACATCCTGCCTGCACTACCACAAGCTCCCCCAGGAAGGGGCCTTGTCTTACCCTTGAGCCTGTAGCACTTGGTATCTAAACAACGAACCCTTACTGAATGCTCACCGTGCCAGGCATTTTTCTGGCATTATTTCATGTCACCCTTACAGTGGTCTTAAGAGATAGGTGTTCAACACCCCCATTTTACAGGAGAAGAAGCTGAGACTCAGACAGGTTAACTAAACTACTTGAGTGGAAATAGCTGACAAGTGACAAAGCTGGGAACTGAGCCCAATCACCCTCCAATGCCTGCTGTTCAGTTGAGTAAAATTGAGTTCTATGAGACTGACCTTCTGGTCACAGAATGGCTCTGCAGCCTCCGTCCATCTGCCTTGCTGTCCTTCCCAGCCTCTCTCCTCCCCCATGTGGGGACCACTGTTTTCCCCTCCCCAGCAGCTGTGGTCCCCGCGTTCCTTTCCTCTGTGTGACCTGTTGTCCAGCCTCATGCAGCCAGGTGCAGAGTGAATGCAGTAGCTTCTCTTCTTTGCTTTGGGGCCAGGGTCCTGAGAGCACCCTCTGCAAAGTGTATGTAAAACCAGCACACCGGAACAGGCAGGACAGGGGCAGATCTGCAGCAGCAGCTTCCTGGGAAACTTGGCCAGGAGTCTGACAATTAGACCTAACCCCGAGAAAAAAGAAATGGACAAGTTCACAGCCTCGCATCCTCTCCCTTCTAGGGAGGGCATGGGAGTGAGGGTGCAGGCAGCTGTTTGTGCAGGGTGGGTGGCCAGTCAGGGCCCAGGTGGAAGGCCCCTGTCCTCTCCGGGCCTGGCTGGCTGGGGACCCTGCAGGGATGGAGACCTCCAAGAGACCAGAGTTAGGAGCAGTTCTTCCCTGTGGGGACTGCAGCAGCAGGGTCAGCCTGGCATTGGCCTATGGGAGACGTCACACTTTCCATCCCAGCCCCACCCCCTCCCCCAAATAAACATCCTCCGAGCTTTGAGGGCACTGCCCAGGGCTTTCTCAGAGGCCATGAGCTTCTGAATGAAAGGCCTGATTGAGCAGCTGCTGGAAAGGGAAACAGCAGCCAACATGGGCGAACCTATAAAACCCAGAGTGTTTATTTTCACTCCCAAACCCTAAACCAAAGCAATTTCTCCCCTGGAACTGACCCTGGGGTGGCTGGCGGCCGGAGGTTGTGCAGAGCCATCGGCTGGCATTTCTCTGAGGAAACTCATGTGTGAATCCAGAATGTCTGGGGCCAGGGGAGGGTCTAGCACAGTCTGTCGCTGGTAGTGCCTTCCAGCTGCCTGCCGGTGTCTGGGGCAGAGAGGGCCCTCTGCGGGAAGTGCTCCGGCCACTCTGACCACTGCTCTGGGCCTTTCCCAGGCTCTTGAGTCCCTGTGGTGGGCTCCCATGGCCATGTGCTATGCTCTCTGCTGTCCCCTATATAGTGGGCCTTGGGGCTGTCCAGAAGCCAGGTCCATGCCTGCTCTTTCTTCCTAGCTGAGGATTTGAGGGGATACTCAGGAGTTGCCCAGGAAACACTTGCTGAACAATATGGCCATCCGGGTGGCCTGAGGATTGTGTCTCTGGTGGATTTTGAGTGTATGGCCAGCATCAATGCTCTGAACCAATGGCAGGGCGTCTGCAGCATGTGCTTGTGTGCTTATGAGTGTGTGTGCCCTGTGTAGCAATTAGGCATAAAAAGTGTAAAATGATGCTTAATTCCAATGACTTCTCTTTGATATTGGGATGGGGATGGCCCTGCTTTGTGAGCATCTGTTGTATATCCTGGATTTGCTTTGGACTGAAAAGCTGTGACTTGAGAGGACTTAAAAATCCCACATCATCAACACCATACCTAGCTCTGTCCTGCCCACCCCTTTGGTATGGAATGGGCAGCATGGCTTCCCTGAGCAGCAGTTTGAGCTGAGTGGCTTTTCATGGTAGACTGATATCTCTCAGAGGTAATCAGGGAGGAAGCTGTTTGCTTCACCAAATTGTTCCCCAGGGGGTCCTGCTTTGCCCCCTCCTCCAGGTGAGAACTGCTGCTGTGGCTGGAGGGAGGAGCTCTGCTTACAGAGCTGCCACCCCGCACGGAGGACCCTCAGGTGGCTCCCTTGAGAGGTCACTACATTCCGGGGGTGAGCCAGAAACTTCTCTTTGAGGGGCTCAGGGGGCCTAATTTGGTTAACCAAGCCAATGAGAGATGGCTACTAGACCAGATACCACATTATTCATTAATTTATAGGGGTGGGGCATCTGTCAAGAAAGCAGAAGGTCCTGTGCCCTCTTTGCCCTCCTGGCTCTTGGGAGGTCACAGCTGTGTGCCAGTTGGGTGGTCCTGAGGGGTGTTCCTGCCAGGCCAAGCCATAGAGAGGTCTGAAGAACCATAGCTGCCCCCCAGCTGGGGCCACCTCTTGGTGACCAATGCTTTAGTATCCCTCAAGATCCCAACTCTGGGGCCGGCCTGGTGGCGCACTACTACAGTGCGCCGCTTGGGAGCACGGCGGTGCTCCCGCCGAGGGTTCGGATCCCACATACATACCGGCCGCTCACTGGCTGAGCGAGGTGCGGGCGCAACGCCGAGGGTTGCGATCCCGTTGCCGGTCCCGGTCCGGTACGGGCG